CTAGCCAGACTTGTGAGAGAAGGAATCGAAGTCACCATAAGTCTCAAACGACGAGTACTGACGTCCCTTGTGAGATGACGTCGCTGGCTTTCCGACGTAGGATGTAGACGCAGTAGAAGATCCTGGTGCCGGCGCTGCTACGGGTCGGAGTTTACTGTGAGAGCCATAACCTCCGTGGCCGTGTCCTAGGGAGGGGCACGGGGGCATATTAGACGCGTTGGGGATGTGGGTATCTGTGTGTGTAACGGGGTGCTGTGTTTGTTTTTTTTATTACTGCGTTTGTTATATTTATTATTTACTATGTTATGTTTTTAATATTAATATGTTTGTTATGTTTATGATTCACTATGGTATGTTTTTAATATTATTATGTTTGTTATGTTTATTACTTACTATGTTTTGTTTTGATATCAATATGTTTGTTATGTTTATTATTCACTATCTTATGTTTTTAATATTATTCTGTTTGTTATGTTTATTATTTACTATGTTATGTTTTTATCATTAGTATGTTTGTTATGTTTATTATTTACTATGTTATGTTTTTAATATTATTATGCTTGATAGTGTTTATTATTTACTATGGTATGTTTTTTATCATTATTATGTTTGTTATTTTTATTATTTATTATGGTGCTATGTTTTTATTATTGTGTTTGTTATGTTTATCTAAGGATGTGGGTATCTGTAGAGAGGGAATATTAACTTGGAGTTTGCTTAAGGTTGTGACCATCTGTTTAGAGAAATATGCGCGTGTCACTGTGTGTTTTTTATATGTGTAGATGTGCTATATATTACTGAATGAAATTATAACGTATCTGCGTCAAATAATTAAATTGTATAAGGCTTCAATATATTTACAATTCCAGTGAGAAAATATAGATCTGAATGATACGTTAAATCAAATTCATTTTCCTTTACTTACCACCTCCATGGCCATATCCCCCATGGTCGTGGCCATATCCTTTGTGATCGTCATGGCCATAACCGCCATGTCCACCATGACCATATCCTCCGCCGTGGCCATGGTCATCGTGACCATACCCTTTGTGATCGTCATGGCCATATCCTCCACCATGGCCATGATCATCGTGGCCATAGCCGCCATGCCCACCATGACCATATCCTCCTCCATGTCCGTGGTCGTCGTGGCCATATCCTTTGTGATCATCATGGCCATAACCACCATGCCCACCTCCGTGGCCATACCCTCCGCCATGGCCATGATCATCGTGGCCATATCCCTTATGGTCGTCGTGACCATATCCCTTGTGGTCATCGTGGCCATATCCTCCACCATGGCCATATCCCTTATGGTCGTCGTGGCCATATCCCTTATGGTCGTCGTGGCCATATCCCTTATGGTCGTCGTGGCCATATCCCTTATGGTCGTCGTGGCCATATCCCTTATGGTCGTCGTGGCCATATCCCTTGTGGTCGTCATGGCCATATCCTTTGTGGTCGTCATGGCCATATCCTTTGTGGTCGTCGTGGCCATATCCTTTGTGGTCGTCGTGGCCGTATCCCTTGTGGTCGTCATGGCCATACGACCCCTTGTTTCCTCCCTTCTTGCCGTAGGAACTCTTGTGTCCGTAGTGGCCTTTGTCGCCGTAGTGGCCCTTGTGGCCCTTGTGGTCATCGTGGTACTTGCCCTTCTTGTACTCTCCCTTGTGGCCATGCTTGTCGTGATGGAAACCTCCCTGTGTGAGAGGAAAGATTATTCACATAAATTAAGAATATGCATTACTATAGCAAGTGTGTCCGAAAAAAAGAAACATGCTTAGGTATAGTATTGATATTTCCTTCACAATCACATATCTTTCCGAATATAATGGAAGGGGAGAACGAAGAGGAGGGGGTGAAACTAAATGAATAAAAGACAAACACAATGTGAATAAGAGAAAACGAAAAAAAAGAAAAGAAAAACTGTATGAAAAGGAGAAGGCTTATCAGGAATAACGACCTCGTGTGAACAAAGGAAAATATGCTGATAAAAAAAAGAAAGAACAAAAAAATGAGGACATTGTATCTTCATTTTTTTTATCAAGGCTTAAAGAGGATAATGTAAAATAAAGCATCCTTTTACCACGAATGAACTAGTCATCAAATCTTATCATTTCCAGGGAAGAAGCGTGCCGAAAATGCGAGAGCAGGCATCATTCACTTACAAATAAACTAGTCTCCCCTTCAACACACAAAAAAAGAAAAGAAAAAGAAAACCACAACAGAAAACGAGTTAATGTTTCCACTGCCCCGTCTTCTGACAACCGGACCCTGAATCTCACCTTGTACTGGCCTCCCTTGTAGTCCTTGCCCTTGTGTGCCTTGAAGTAGGCGTCGAAGTCGTCGTATTTGCTGTGGTACTTCTTGATGTCGTCGTCGTCGTAGAATTTCTTGCTCACGTGGTACTCTTCCTTGTGGTAGACGTTCTTGTGTCCCTGAGAGCGCGGAGAGGTGCTTTTGAGGTTAAGGGAAACTATTCTTTTTCTTTTTGTCTGCC